GGGTGTGGCCAACTCAGGAGCCAGCTGGAACTCCGTTCCTGTGTGTTCCTACCCAAAAATAGCCCTGCCTGGAAGTGTCATCATCACACCGCGATGTTAGGTGGTGATGCTCTAGTTTTGGGGCAAAACTCTATGGTAAATTTGGCCTCAAACCGTAGACTTTTGCCCAAGAACTAGAGCGTGGCCGCAGACGGTGGTGTGATGATGTCACTTCCAGGTGACATCACCATGCAACGAGTGCCTTGCACACACAACAAAGAACTCCCCCTAAAGTACCTTCAGACCCCCCCACCAGCAGAATGGTATGACCTGGCAACCCTAGGCATGATCCATTGGGGCCTTCTCTTTCGCAAGCCTCTCAAAGCCCTTCAACCCTCTTTGTGATGATTACACTACTAGCCTATCTTACTGCTTAGTTTTACTGCAAGGGGAGATAACCTGGATTGTCCATGCTGGCCTGATCTTGTCAAATCTTGAAAACTCAGAAGAGTTGGCCCCGGTTAATATTCGGATGGGAGACAAGCAAGGAGGCCCGGGGTTGCCGCCCAGAGGTGGGCAATGGCCAAACCACCTCTGAATGTCTCTTCCCTTGGGAACCCCATGAGGGGTCAGCCTGTGCAGGCTGTGATTTGGCATCACTTTCCACCACTAAGTTACGTGAAGTACTTTGAACACTCTCAAACCTTACGCAGAGACTTAGGGAGCAATCCTCAGCAGGCCTACTCAGAAGCAAGCCGCATGTTATTTTATGGGGCTTAATTCCAGGAAAGTCTCCTTTGGATTGCAGCCTTAACAGCGTTAGGCAGGCTCCATTTGTGTTTTGTGCCTTAGTCAATCCAAATGTCTTGAAAGCACCCTTCTGGCACACTCTCCCTTGACATTTGTATGTCACTGTCAGCTGTCACTGTAGTTCTGTCTGCTGTATTTTTGTTGTTCTCTGTTTTAAGGAGGCTTCTCAAGTGAACCTCCCCCCCCCCCATTGTGCTCTTTCTGACTCCACCCCTGCCATCCTCCAGTCATTTCCACCTTGGCAAAGGTATCAAGCTTACACATGAACTTTTGATGCTGCTGTATGCTGAGTCAGGCAATTAGTCCACCAAGAGCAGCATTGCCTACTCTGACTGGCAGCATCTCTCCAGGGTCTCAAGCGGCCGTCTTGCACATCACCAAATACTGGATCCTCTGGAGATGCCAGAGATCAAATTTTTGGTTTTTCTGCACGCAAAACACCACTGAGCCATGATCCTTCCCCAGAGGACATGCTATGATGAGACAGAGATGAAATATCACCAGAAGTCGCCTATAATAGAATGGGGTGGCAGAAGAAGCCACTAGGGTCAGAAGAGTAGGTGCTTTCTTACGAGAAACTAGTCTGCTCTGATCATCTTGTTTGTCACAGAAATAAAGAGCTGTTGTGCAACTTCTTGAGTGGCTGCATCCGGACAGCAACTTTCTCCGCAAGCAAGTGCACCAGGAAAGTTGGGATGCTGCAAAGAGCTGCAATTTCTCATGCAGAAAGCAAAACCCCACCTTTGCTCGTGCCGTAAGCGCCATGCACATTTCCACTGGGAATGTGAAAGAAAGCGCACGGCGTCTTCCCTGCATGAGCCAGTGCTCTGTTACGCCACAAGGACACGCGATGTTCAACAGTGTTGCGGATGTACATTATGCCGCCATTAGCACTTTTGAATGGGGAAACATAATGCCCAGTTAAGTCATTTGTGTCAGGGCGCCACTTCCCGTGCAATCCCATATCAAGTTATGTCAGTGTGAACCCTTTGAAATTAACGGGCTTAGAGTGGAGTAACTCAGCCTCAGGTTGCAGTGAGAATCTCCTCTCTAGTCTTGTCTCTTCTCCTTCGTTTCAAGAAACTGTTTCTTATTTAATATTAATAGAAACATTCTCAGAAACAAAGAAATGAACCATTGTTGCAAAAAGCAACTTTTAATTTAATGCACCACAGGGAGAGTATATTGCGTTAAAGTACTTGTTAATGTTCTGACACACATAAAACGTCGGTCTTCTTACAGTCTCATGACGTGTTCCTTATTCTGAAACCTCTTCCCTTCTTTTCCTTCCCATTTAAGATCCTATACAAGTACCTGTTTCTCTGGCTAATTCGATGGTTCCGCTCCTCTTAGGTTGCCACATCCTGTTTACTTTTTGAAGGAAAAAAAGACTCTCTAATCTGTGTTGATAACACTGCTGTAGTTATTGCAAAGCAGCTGTAACATGTTGTGTTAAAATACACAACGTCTAATGCCATTCGTCTTGAACACGTCTAATGGTGGGCCTTTGAATCTGGGATAGGATCTCATTCCCCGTCCTCCAGTGAAATCTGAAATTGTGCCACTCAGTTTATCATGTCCATTATGGACCAGTGTTGTGTTTCTGTTTATACTTTGGAATGGGGGAATCTAATGCATATTGTTGTTGTTGTTGTTGTTATCATCATCATCGTCATCATATCATGAGCAGCATATGGCATGTGTGTACTAGTATAGCCAGGAGATCCTAAGATAGTCTAGCAGCCAGAAGTTCTAACTCTATTTTTGCGTTATGCACCATTAGGTGGCAAGCTAGACTTGTTTTTAAGGCAAGAGTCATTTCAGAGGTGGTTTGCCATTGCCTGCTTCTGCAACCCGGCCCTTGTATTTCTTGGAGGTCACCCTTCCAAATACTAGCCAAGGCCGATCCTGCTTAGCTTCTGAGATCTGACAAGATTGGGCTAGCCTGGGCTATCCAGGTCAGGGCTCTAATGCACAGTTATGCTGTTTCAGATACAGTTACACACACACACACACACACACTACAATAGTCTTTTGGATCCCCTTTCTGTGCATGTAAATCTCACATCCCTGTGTGTGTGCGTGCAGATAAGTGTGCCAAAAATGCCAGTCACATAAGGGAAGCAGCAAATATCTGAGAAAATAAAGGGACGTTTTTTGCACATCACAAGGGGAAACGTTCCACGGGGAAGACATTTCCGTCAGAAGGGATTCCATCTGGGGCTGCCCTCTGTCTCCCACTAAATCACTGTCTCTGCTTTCCTCCTTCCACTGTCTTTCAGTTCTCCTTCCCTCCCAGGGTCCGCCCCTCCCTTTCCTGCGTCACTGTTCCTCTCCTGTCCCGCGGCTTTCTCTTGTCATGTCTCTTCTCCTCTTTGCATCTTTTCCGTTCCCATCAGCTTTTTTTTTTAAATCCTCCGCAGCCCCATATTTCAGGACATCTTTAAAAACAAACATTGCAGCGATGCCCCAGCCTGTCTGTCTCGAGAGAGAAAGCATATGAGAGGTTGACAAAATGTAATCGGTGTGAATGACTCCTCTGAAACGCATGCAACCTCCGGGGCGGAACGAAGCCAAAAGGACCTTTCTCGGATGTCAAAAAGCAACGGAAAAGGCAGTGGTTGTTGGGAGTCCAGTCATATAGCAGCAAGCGTGCTTACTTAAGCGTGGCCAATATCAGGGGCAAAGATGCAGATGTCAGTGATCAAGTCGAAGGGTGTGGGCGACGAGGATTCTCTGTGAGGCTTCAAAGGTCTGTTCTTGGATAGACAGCAGAAAAGCAGCACTATAATGATTAAGAACAATAGCTGTGTGCTGTCAAGCAGTTTATGGCAACCCCAGCGCCATGGGGCTTTCAAGGAAAGAGATGAGCAGAGGCAGGGGTCATTTTGTAGAAAAAGAGGTGCAGGAGCTCATTAGCATATTAGCATAACTTATTTGCATATGCCACACCCCCTGACATCA